GGACGCTGTGAAATAGGATATTGAAAAATGTTATGAAAAGTCAAGTTCCTAACACTGAGGATGACAGCTAAAATCTTAGAAGAAGAAATCTAAGCTCCAGGGGAAGTAATCTCTTAGTAACTCCAAGGTTGCCAAGTGAATGCAGAAAGAACTCAATTAGAGGAAGCAGTGTATAAGGAAATTGCTCTTGGTTTGGGAGGAAAGAAGTTTAGAGTGAAAAATGAAGCCCCTTAAGGTGCATGACCTAATACTGATTATCAGACCATCTATTGGCCAGTGTCAGTGGGATAAGGAAATCAGAGCAATAATAAAATAAAGATAGCTAGCTGTCCTTGGAACTTTTGAAAGCTGCAAACGGGTTTTATGCGGGAATGGAATGATAGCACTAATTGAATGAATAATAACCATCTGGCAAGATTGTTAAAAGCACGTTATATATAAACATTACAACCTTATAAAATGATCAACATTATTCTGAGAATTCAGATAAGGAATCCAATAAGCACAGAGATGTTTAGTCACAAGGTCAGCCACATCAGCAAATAGTGGTTGTGAATCTGTTTAAGTAGAAGAAACAGAGGGTTATCTTGGAAAAATCATGGAGATGGCTCCTGGAGCCAGATGTTATGGTTTATACATCAGGCATCCTCCAACTGTTTCTGTGTTAATGCACAAATGTTCAGAGATAAAAGTTAGATTATGAAAATTATAATCTAATCAATGGATGGATCAGCTTGATGGATTAATATTTAGAATGGACTAACTGGGTGGTAAAGGTAGGCAGGTGGGCCATGCATAGAGGAAGTAGGTCACTGGGGGAATGCCTCTGGGTTTTATATTTTGTCCCTGACACACCTCTCTCTCTCTCTCTCTCTCTCTCTCTCTCTCTCTCTCTCTCTCCCCTCTCTCTCTCTCCCCCCCAACCCCCGCCCTTCTTAGCTTCCATAAGCTGAGCAGTACTCCTCCACCATATACTTTTGTATGATATTCTGCCTCACTTCAGGCCTAGAGCAATGGTTTCAGGCAACCATGGACTAAATCTCTAAAACAATGAGCCAAAATAAGCTTTTTTTCTCCTCTAAGTTGTTCTGGTCAGGTATCTTGGTCACAGAGACAAAAACCTAATTTACCAGAGATCCCATTGTATACTGGAAGTATAGGTACAAATATTGAGAACAACGGCGATTTGCAAATCCTTAAATTAAATTATAAGGGAAACTAATCACTCTGTTGACTCATTAATTAAAATAAAATTTTGATGATAATGATGTAAGATATATTCATTAAAGAATATTTAAATATTTGAACCATGGCAATATAATAAAACTCCTCCCATTTTTGTCTAATTAGATAGGCATTTTTGGTCACTGTTTTCATATCTGCAAAAACTAGGAAGAACATTTTTGAATTTTGTTTCATTTTTTCAATTGATACTCATCCACAGGTAATTTAATTAATGATAGAAAAAGAAGCTCTATCCTTCTCATTGTATACATTTTCATTTAAGATTTACTTTTTTTCTGTATTTAATGATTTTTAAGATTTGGAAGATAGTTCTATTCTTTGGTCAAATTGTTATAACTTATCAGTTTAATTTAATCTAAAAGAAAACTGGTAATTCTTAGCACCTTATTGTAATAAAATATTTGAAATATGAATTAAATGATATACATATTTTTGCTGTAGAGGTAGGTGTATGATAGTAATCTATTACACATTTTATGAAATTTATTATGTTAGAATAAAATTGGATTAGATAGATTAGAATAAATAGGAAACATGGGAATAATATTAAATTTCTGTTATAAAAAGAACATATTCTTTGCTATTTTAAACTATTATAGGTACAAAATTTTGTGTAATATTTTGATTCCATTGCTGTCATTAGAAAAGTGATGTAACTTCTATCTTAAAATGTCAAAGTTTATATACTGGGATCACATCATTTGCAACTACATGATTGTATGATAAAAAAGCTATATGTCAACTTAAAACTGAATTAGGGCTACAAACTTTTCAAAAATACTCTTGTAGATACTTCAGTGACAAAAGTTGAAAGCCACTGCTGAAACTCATAGATCACATTTGATGAGTAATTCTTTCTCCATAGAGCATGTGTCTAGGGTGGGGATGATGAACATAAGGTTCTTGTGGGTCCTATATTTCTAACTTACTTCCAGGTTTGTATTCAGGGAAGATTCAGGATTTCAGAAGGACAGACAGACAGACAGACACACACACACACAAAATCACCCTAGCCCCAGTCGTTTTAGGGAGGAGGGTACTCCAGTCATTTTCCAGAATGTACAAGAATAGCAGTAAAATCCCTGTTCACCTAAAATGTGTTGGTTTGTAGTAGAAAGCACACCTGCCCTGAACCAGACTTTGCAATAGGAACAAGAAACAGCTCAGAAGGCACATGTGAACTGATGGCAAAGTTAAATATAAAAATGATATCACCCAGATGCCAATATAGATAGATGGCATTAGGTATCTCTTGAGCTATTTAGATGCATCCAAAGTAAAAGAAGGACAAAGGTCAAATGAAGCAAATGATTTCACCCTCCTGACTGAAAAACAATAGCATACAGTATATAAACTCAACTCAATAAATTAATTCTCACAACTAATTCATGAAATAGGTATTATACTTCAAATTTTAGAAAAATCAACAATTTATAAAGAAGGTTTAAGTAACATATCCAGGTTATATTATTTATTAGTGAGGAAGTTAAAATAGGAACTTGAAGCAGAAAATAGGATTTGTTTTGGAATAACCAATAAGTAGGATATAGCTACTTTTGAATTTATGGTGCACAATCCATGGATGCACGCATACACATATACATAAAAGCATCTTCAGTGTGACAATAAGTGTCCCAGGCATATGGCATAGTAATAGGTAGCATCTCCTTCCTATGGCCCACTTTTCTTTTTTGTGAGACAAATAGACTGTCAATGTCAAACCACAGCTTACAACAATTGCCAGTTCACATTAATTCAAAAGAAGGTATTTCAGTATCTAATTTCTTGTCTACCTACCCATGATATCATAGAGAAATAAAAATGATTATAATTTGCTTCCAAAATAAATAGAAAGAAAAATTAATATAGTTAACTTTTTTTCCATATGTAAAAATGTCAGAATTATAGTATGAAGGAAGGAAATTAATCTCATGAGCCAAGGGTCATATGTATTTTGAAAGATATCCAAAGAAACAATAGGGATGATTTTTATTTTCATAATAATATCATCATATATCCATTTTGCCTTGCAGAAATAATTTAGCTTTTGATCTCATGAAATCTTTGGATGACTTTTTTTTTGTATGAATAACTCAGAGGAGAAAAAACACTTATGGAATAGAAGCTTTTGTTCTTAGGGGTAGCGAGGTAAGCTTACATAGAGTAAACAGTTTTAATGTGTTTGTTATAATGTCATTCTTTAATAGCATTTTCTGTAAGTAACACTCAAACATGGCAACGTAATAGCCCTGAGAAATACACAATTCAAACAATGTGGGAAGGAGAATTTTATGAGGTGAATAGACATAGAGTCACTAGAAGGAAGATTGCATTTTTCTTTTACTTTTTTTTCTATTTTTTTTATTTTTTATCTTGGAGCTTTTTCTTCTAACTCTTCTGCTACCTTTGCAGTATGAAGGTAACATTGTTGCAAAAACATAAAAATTGCAACATATTCCAGAAATCCCTTAAGAAAATAATTCTTTGACAATGAACTTTACTCAATTGGCATTGTACTTAGAAATTGTTGGGATTTGTTTTCATTTTGCATTGGGGTTTTTATTCTTGTGCAAAAACTGGCCATTTAAAAGGATGGTAGGATAAACTTCTAAGGGAAAAATTTTTTCTACAGCTTTGCCATTATGCACAGAATTCTATGAAGGTCTGGCTAAATAGACATTTCTGCTTATTTCCTGTTTAGGCTTAAGCTTTTTAACAGACTTAACTAGACTGCAAAACAAACTTGAAGGCCTCTCTTGACTTTAGCTAGCAGAATTGATATAGGAAATTGCCATTTTTTTCCTTAAAATTTTTCACTTAGATCAGAGGTATAAAGCATCCGAAATACATTAAAGTTCTAAAAATTCATAGATTATTTTGAAATTAAGGTTAACTTGAAATATAGGCAAGGGAGATGCTGAGAAATAAGGAATAATGCAGAAATATCAGATTGAAAGATCTATTGAGACAACTTTTAATTATTGTTTCTTTTTCTTCACTCACATTAATACAGATTGAAACCCCAGAGGTAGACAAAAGAAAGTTGTGATGGTTGTTATTCAAATATGTCAACAGAGTCCCCAGCTTACCATGGTTTATGAAGGCTAATTGTATCTGCTAAATTATTACCTGACCTCTGACTACAGGTTCTCTGCCTGGGTCATAGGCATTCAACTTACAGAATTGAACTGAAAGATTCCTTCCTGTACTAGCAAGATACAACTAAAACAGGAAATATTATGATATTATTGACTACTTACTATATGTCATCTTCTCTCCCAACACTTTACAGGTATGAACTCATGTAATATACTAAGGCAGAAAGAAATTTTAAAACTTTCCTAAAGTAACAGTGAGTTTGGATTCAATTCCAGGTAGTCTATCTATGCACTCCTAAACTAAATGCAAATATATATATTTAAATGTAAACACAACATACTCTGAAAAACTCTCTGTATACATCATTTAATGTACAATATGAGGGAAAAATTATGTATTTGTTTACATATGTATAAAATATTTTGAAATGATGACATTGGATTCTTTACAGCTCAGACTTGAAGGAGGGCTAGTGGTGCAAGAAGAGATTTACATGTATGGCTTAGAATCCCTAAATTTTAAAGTATGTATGTATATTACATTCACAAAAATGGATGTTAATAAATAAATCTTTAAAAAATAATAAAACTTCAGTAAATTCTAATATGTTAAAAATAATTTAAGTCTATATTTAAAAAGAAAAGCTAAAGACATCCTTGGGGGAATTCAATGTGTTTTATTTTGCCAAGCAAATGATTTCTTTCATGTCCAATTAAACTTTAATGTGATACCTACATTTTGTTTTCTTACACATAATGCACATTCACTGTAATGACAGATTCATCATGCTAAAATCTATTCACAAACCTACAATTTGAAAACAGAAAAGTGCATTTCTAGGAAATTTTATATATAATACAAATGAAAAAAATACTAAATTATTGAATTACCAAACTACACCATATAAAACCAATCAACCACCAGTATTCAGTATACATTAACACTATTTTTGAGAAAGAAATTTTTCTTTACATTTGCCAGAGCTTTGTTCAAGAAGAATTTCCATATTTTTTAAAGTAATAAAAGTATATACAATTTAGTAATGGTCACAATAGAAGGTATTAAATAGTACAAATAATATTATAAAACTAAACACCATATTGTGTATAAGTTTGGGCCTCTGTGAAGCAGGAGAAACTATAATTTGAGAACAATTCTGCTTTAATTCTGTACATAAAAACATTGATGAGAGGATGGTGTTGACCTTACATTGACATGTGCTGCTATTTGGGTGCAGAGTGGAAAAAAATAAATATAAACCTTTTCAGCAGGCAAACCATCTGCATAATAAACTGCTTTAGAGATTATTTAAGAATCACACACGTTTGGGAGAATAGCTTTAAAAATGAATGAAGTTGGTTGTCATTTATGTTGTACATTTTGATGATTATTTTTGCCACTTAGAGGCCCCCTTTTAGAATATCAAAATATACCAACACTTAATTAATAAAGATATTCTTAAATCAATGACCATGCTCTTTTGAACAATATTTTTTTGGTGGCAGTGATGGTGCTAGGGACTGAATCTAGGGCTCTGCTCATGCAAAGCATGTGGTACAACTGAGCTATACCCATCAGCCCTGATCTTAGTTCTTAAAGTTTTACTCAATATTCAAAATGGCCTTCATTAGCTTCTTCATGAATTGTTAACTACAAATATAATTTTTATAGTAGATTCTGTGTAGGTATTTGTTACGATTCTTGCTTTTACCTGGTAACATAAAAAATTAAGTAAATGAAATGAAAAGGTAAAAGCTGTGTTTTTTGAAGGAATATGAGAACATGAGGAATTTCTTATGATTCTGCCATCTAATTTTTAATTTGGAGAAAGTCATTTTAAATTATTCTAATGAAACCATCCAAACATACAATTAGAACATAATTATTCATTAAAAGCTTATACGATTACCTTTAAAGGCCATTGAATATATGTATTAACATTTATTTAAAAGAATATTTGAAATGAAAATAAAATAATATGAATGAAGACAGAAATCTTGGATCTTCTTAAAGAATGTTAATTTTGTTTACATTATACTCTTTTTCCTTTTTTGACATAATGAGCACCTCTCCACCACACACATATGAATATAAAAGATAGGGTGTGACTGAAAAATCAGTATGATGTGAGATTTTTTTTTAAAAGAGAATAAATCATAGAACTTGATGATTGAAATTGAAAATTAGCCACATTTGTTATAAATTCTTCATGATAACATGAAAATTTCTACTTTATTTTTTTTTTCCTTTTTGATGGTTTTCACCCCCCATGGAGAAGTTTGATACTTCAAAATGTTTTCTTTTTATATTGTTTAATTTGCCACACAGATAAAAAATTAGAACCAAAATAGTAATCAATTAAATAATGTAAGATTATATTTAAGTCTATAATAACTTAAATAACTTCCAAACAACTTTTGTCTGGAAGATGACAACAATATAAACCTACATGTTCCATTGCTTTAACTCCATCAAAGATCTTTAGGGTATAGATTATTCACTTTAGCTTTCTGAAACAAAAGAACCAAGATCAATGACAAGTATCAGCAACTGACAAATTTTACAATCTTAAAAAAAAATAGTAATTTCACTGGAAGCATAAACTCATCATTTTCTTTTTATGAATCACTCATGTTTTTAAATAATGCTTAGATGCCCTCTTCCCTGTACATTATCTATCTTACATTTCTTCCGATGGCATTCTGTCATGTCACATGCATTTACATGACTTTACCTATGTGAAAGTTGTGAAATAGAATTTATTTTCATATGTAAAATCATTGCCAATCAGAAATCTAAACCCCCAAAGTAGGGAAGAAATACCAGTGTTACTACCCTCATTCAATTGAGAGATGTAACAATTCTACTTCTGTAGCTACCACATTGATTTTGAATAAAAGATGAATAAAGATATAAATAAAATCTGGGTTAAGTTAAATATTTATATGCACCATGAGGACCATGACATGTCTACTGCTAGTCAATATCATACACGAAATGCATGCTCATTTCAGTTCATGTAAAACTCACTCTAGGAGTGAGTAATCACCTTTTCTCAGGAATTTTTCATGGGTAAAGAACAAGATTCTTTGCTCAAAGTTTGATCATTGAAGACAGAGCATTTGTTACTAGAAGCATAAGCCCCACGTATGAAAACATTACGACTCTGGCAATTGATTTCTCCTGTTTCTACTTTTTCGGCTATTGATGAGAGCCTTTAACTTGCCGTAGTCTCCTCTCAATTTTTGTGATTCTTCCCCCTGTTGATGTTGCTGTCGAGTGTCTTTGCAGTACTGATTGATCATCTGCATTTCTGAGTGGCTGAATGCACCCATGATGTCCTTTGGGTGGAAAGGTAAAGCCCTCACAGAGCTGGCCCAGGTCCACGGTGACCACTTGTCTGTCACAACAGCCACCATTTCTGAATCTAAAACTTTGAAGTTGATTTTGGCTATGGTCTGCTTGAAGCTGTTTTCTGTTGCAATGCAGTGATACAGTCCTTGGTCAGAATCTTGAACAGAGCGGATCAGGAGTCCTTGTGGAGTGGCTATAATACGCTCATTCAGCTTAACCTAAGAGAAAAACACATGAAAGTTCAAACACACTGAAGACTATATATTCTAAAATGATATGCCTGACATAAAAAAAAATTGACTTTCACAAATTTGGCAAAAACATTGTGTACAAATTAGCTTCCTTCTCAGTAGATACAAATTTGTGATCAGTTCCCTTGTCTTTTTTGCATAATAGATCTTGTCATAGAAGTACTCAATCTGTTAAAGAGAGGGTGAAGGTATTATCCATCTTGGAAAAATAAAGTACGTTACCTTTGGATAGAAACAGTTCTATCACATTCAAGTACAGAATTATGGTTGCTTTTGGTATCTGTATCACTGACAACATTATAAAAATGAAGTTCATAGATAATTATAGTATTAATTTCATGGAATTCTTTTCTTCCATTTTTACTGACACACTCACTTACTTGTGAAATTATGAAGCCACTAAAAAAAAGAATTGATTCTTCTTCTTTGGTCAATGAATCAGTGTTCTAGATAAAAAAATACATAAGCAAAACCAGAATTTTGAACATTTACATTACCTTTTGCAATTTCCTACCTATTGGATGTCTAATAATAAACTGGAAGTACATTGTCTTATAAATCTTCCAGGTAGATTTACTTTGGAAGGAAAGGCAATAAAAATCAATGGGTTAATATTTAATTACTGTCTAGGCTTAGGCTGCAAAATGATAAATGACCAAATATCAGCCAAATGCTTGAAATCCATGTTCTTTAAAGAGTTCCAGCTATAGTGTTCTCCATCAATGAAGACATAAAAATCTACCACAAACATGGCAAGATGTTACTTGCCATATGTACTGTGGAATGTTCTTTCCCTAAGGGAAAAAATATCTGACCAAAATCAAAGAGGTAATGTATGAGAAATATTTTTCTAAATGATAAAATTCTGTTAAAATAGATATTTTATTATTAATGAGGTTTAAACCAAAGACTGATAGTTTTGGATAAAATGTAACCATCACAAAAGTAAAAGTGTAATAATGAAAGGTGGACAATAGAAATAGAATGGAGATAGAAAAGAGAGAATCGTTACAAAGAGATACGAAACTAATTTTTGACATTAATTACGTTTTGAAGTTTAATTGTGCCTCAAAAATGATTTACAATGACGACATGTATTTGAGAATTAATGAAAAGAAAAGAAAGTCTTTCTTATATGTGCAAAATTGAAAAACGTTTCTTGAGGCCAATATGATAATATCCATAAAACATGCCCATAATATTTATTGCAGCAATTTATTTTCTAGAGATTTATCTAGAAACTATATTCTCACAAATATGCATATATTTGTTTATGTATTACTTTTGAAAAGAAAAACAAAACAAAACATAACCTAACTAGTAAATGACTCAGGTATATTCATCCAATGAAATATTCTTCAGTAAAAAAACAAACAAACAAAAAACCAGGGTAGCTCCACATGTATTGACATTGAAGTGTGTGTGTGTGTGTGTGTGTGTGTGTGTGTGTACTTTAGGCTACAGAGCATATTTGGAGGAATATATAATAAAATGGGTGAATCTATTACTCTTTATAACCTTTTATACTCTGAAAAGTAGAAATAAGCATTAAAGTGGAAGAAGATGTTTGGTTCTTACTTTATGCTTTTCAATATGAACTATTAGAATTTTGCTTCTTGGGCTTTTATCATTTCTGTTACTTGAAAAGAGTTCAATTTTTATACATCAATAATGTGAGAAGTAAGCATGTGTTGGCCTGAAATAGTAAGAATCAGGATAATTTAATAAGTTCTTAAGGGTTTATTTAAGTTAGATATATGTAGAACTAGGCTCTGCTTAAATTATGAATGGTTTCGTGATTATTAAATTATTAATTAAATTGATTACTTTTTATCAAAATCTTAAATTATTCTATTCTTGTTTTGCAATTGAAAGATAAAACAAAATAGTAATATTTCAGTCCACATTCTTGAGCATTCTGAAATAAAATAAATTAAAACCATACATTCCATTTTAAATTTTATCATTAATTTCTGTGGTATATATTAAATGTACTATTAAATATATATACACATTGATTTTAAATCATAGAAATTATATTCACTTGTATAATATTCTATTGAACTTTTTATTAAATAAAATAAAAATCTTTTATCCATTTTAGGTAATACTTGTTTGAAAATTAGTTACCTAATTTGTATATGTTCATAAGGGCATTTTCTGGAAGGACTGTTCATGCCCTAGCCTATGAACTCTTTCTATATGGTAATCATCATTACACATGTGATTTCTAACCCAGGATACTTTGCAAGGCAATTATGATTATACTCCCATATCCATTCAAAATAATTTAATATTAATTAGACTATAGAAATCCTAAGACTTATTGGATGACACATTTTACAGCAAAAAATAGACCTCAAAATAATTTTTAATTTAAAAAAGTTGTAATTATTATAGAATTCCAGGGAAAGCAGGATCTCTTAAGTACATCTAGAGCATCTTCAGATAATTAAATGTCCTCTTATGTTTAATATTCCAGTAACTGGTCTATGTTTAATATTCCAGTAATACAGGATACAGAATTCACTAAGCTACTCATAGCTCTTTTGGATACGGAAGTCTGAAAACTGCAAAGTATATGCCTGTATGGAAACTAGCATTTCAGTAAAATAGATGCAATACCTGTTCTATAGCTTGTGAGGACATACATTTTTCATAGCCTTAATTAACTTCATATGTACAAGTAAATTTCCCCACAACAGAAGAATATGCACCAGTGCAGGAGGCTCCATTCTCCCCTTGGCTCCATCAGACTTTTTGGTGCACTAACAATGGTATAATTTAGACTACCCTAAGCTTTTATGTACATACATTTTTCTTCTTTTCATTTGTCAGAACAACATGACATCAGTTTTACGGAATTCATTGTTTACAATATATCACTGTATGCCATTTTACAACGCCTCTATTTTAAAAGAGTTCTTTTCAATCAGTGAAATGTTATAGTAAGTGTCCTTTTATTTGAAAATTTGGACTTTTTTTTTCCATATCACTAAATAAAGGAAATGGTCTCATAAACAATGATTTCATATATCACCTGAGTGAATCACAAGAGTTATGAATAATAAATCGATGGAAACATTACTGCAGAAAAGAAAAGTGCTCTTTACCATAGGTTATAGTTTAGTGTAATTCATTGTTAGGGAATACTGAACTATTTTTAAAGCCCATTTTTTATCTTGTGAGTCACACAAAGGTGCATTTGTGTGAGAACTTGGCTTCTGGATTTGAACACATTTTGCTTCTTTTAAAAATGTTTCCTCGCATCAACACCACTGTCTTAGTGTCCAAGCTCTTGTTTCAGTCACTGTGTTAGAGAGGTGGGCAGGCAGAAAGACAGGCTTTCTAATTAATCCATCAATTCTAAGGACAAAGGATTTTAAAGAAGGTGGCACTTGTCATCCAGATGACATAAAAAGATGTTCATATGTCTTTCCTTTTTCACTTGATCTGCATCTCACTGAGGGATGCTGATTTAATGTTTCTTGCAAAGCCCTGATTGATTGCTGCTGGGCTGCATTACTCACCTCTTTCCTCCTGTCTTTGTCTTTCTGTAGCAACCACTTGATAGATGCCTGTGGAGACTTGGGGGCACACTCAAGAAAAGTGGTGTTATTTTTTACTCCGTACTGAACAATTTCAGCTGCATTTCGATATGCTGAAGAGCAAAAAGAAAAGAAAGAACACAACAGAATTTAGAGCACACTTTTCAATACTGATCTCTGAAAAATTGTGATTAAATATGGCAGCCAACAGAGGTGATGATCACTTAACAGGCAAACAAGTATATAGTGTTTACCAATTCTGTTCAATGTCAAGAAAAAGAGAGAAAAGTTAATCAAGGCTATGTTGGTGAGGGAATCAAGGTTTGCTCAGGAAATAACCTACACCAAGGTCGTACTTAACATCACTTTGTAGGCTTTCTTATCACAACATTGTTGTCAGTTTGTTTGTTCTCAGCTGAGCAAACTGAGGCTGTGAGTTATGAGGCCATACTAAAACTAGGCTTGTCCCTCCCCAAAACTCATATTCAGTATGGGATGGAGAAAATTCAGGAGCACAGGAAAAGGGCAGAAACTATAGCATGGCTCCAGTTAAATGCAATGGCTGAAAACATGGTCCTTGGAATCAGAGGAACAGGAGTAAAATCCTGACTTCACCTCTACTGAAGCAAGTTACTCCATCTCTCTATTCCTTTGTTTTACTCAATTATAAAACATGGGTTATAGTATTTTTGCACTTTTACAAATAGTATTAAATTAGGCAAAGCATTTAACATAATCACGTGGTAGTTGAAACATGAACAGAATCTTCATAAAGCAGGGATAACAACAGATTCTACTTTGGTATAGTTTTTGAACACTGAGTAAGATAAGTACTAAACTCAGGTTCTGATACAAATCATCCTCAATATTTACCCACACCTCCACTGCCATTGTTCTGAACACTGTTAACAACTGCTGTCATGAATGGGAACTGACTTTCCTTAAAATGAAAGGCCTGGACCTAATGCATTGTTCCCCTTACTGAAATATGATGTGAAATACTGATTTATTTACCAAGTTTGACCATTGTTCACTTTAAATACCTTTTAGGTTAAATCCTCTGCATTGAGTCAGTGGATTTCCATGTCTCACATCTTGCCTTCGGCTCCTCCTGTAGGTGCAGAAATGTGTCAAAAGTGACTTAAAATTATCTTTGCAATTGTACCACGTTCTAAATATTTCATTTTTATTTTACAAACTTTTGATTGCCTTAGATTTTATTAAAAATGCTTGATTAGCTGATGCAGGTATCTGATATGTCTCATTTAATACATCAATGTTTGGATGAGTACTAATCCTTACTTTTCAATCTAAATAAATTCTATCCCTCCTCATCTACCATTTGTGGTGGAATGGCTATGAGTTTTCTTTTATATGCATTATCTGGGTTAATACTAGGTTTCATAATTGAGCATATAAACTTTTATTTTAGGGTCATTCATTCAAAATTTTCTAAAATGTTTCCTTCAAGGCATAAACTCACTGCTATTTTCCTTTTATGAAGGGCATAATATACTTTTCTTACAAAGGTCAACACTTTAAAGATATATTAAAACTTTTCTCAAACAAGTGATATGGCAATAAAACACTAACATTTAATATAAGGGTAAATAACATTTTTTATTTTCTAAGACTCTCCCTCAACTTTTTTATTTTGAAAAATTTCAGTTGTACCAAAAAAAAAAAACCACTGAAAATATGAGTATAATGAATACTCAGATGCCTAGATTCACATATTATTGTATTTGCCACATCAATTTAATTCTCTCTGATATACAAACATATGCTGTGTATGCACATATATAAAAACCTATAGAAAATAAATTGTAGCATGTTGCACTTTCACATAATTTAGCACATATCTTCTAAGTAATCTTCCTGTGGAGGATTATAATACTAAAAATATCAAAATTTATTTAGCATCATCTAATGCACATTGTATATTGAAATTTTCCTAGGTGTTCCCAAAATATCCTTTATGGGTTTTTTAAAAAGTTTATCCAGAACCCAAAGTTCACTCTTTGCATTAAGTAGTGACATGTTACTCATTCAAGCATTTTAAAAATTTAGCTATTGTCTTCATAAATTGTTGCTATTTAAAAGTTTTAAGTTATTTGCATTTTAATTATTTAATTTCATAATTCTTAGATTCGCTGAGTATACTAGTTTCAATTGTATTACACATTGTAAAAAGCAAAATATAACAACTGAAATCTCCTGAGTAAGGCATTGTGGGTAAGAACATTGCCGTAAGTAAGAAGAAAGGGTACTTTTTAAATGTGTGAATGCTTCCTGACACTGATGAAAATTATGCATGAATGAGAATATCACTTAATGGGATTATATGTTAATCTTTATTAACATTTTTATCTTCGAAAGTAAAATACTCAGCAAGATGAACAGAAATATTAAAATCAGTGTAGTTATTAAACTGACATAGCAAAATTATCTCAAAGTCATTAATAATGTAACACCTCATTTTAAGATTACAGAAATAGTTAATATTTTATGTACTCAACATATTGTATACATCTCTTTATGGAAATATATATATATATATACTTTTGTATCATTAAAGTATTCCTTTCTCAAAAAGGGTGCCCATTCCTTCTACAATTTTATATTTCTATATAGACATACACATAAAATAATGGTAGTGTTAGGAACTCTTATGGCAATAAATATAACTCATGTGCAGTTTTACTGCTTTGCAATCTGTATATGGGGTAAAAATGGGAGCTCATAACCCACTTGAATCAAAGTGTGAAATATGATATATCAAGAACTATGTAATGTTTTAAACAGTCAACAATAAAAAATTTAAAAAAAAAGAATAGTAGAATAGGGAGGTTTTGTGGAATATTTGAGAGGTGGGGCCTAGTATTAGTCCTTAGATCATGTAGTTCTCCTGCAACCCCTATATTTCATGTGATGAAGTTCTTATAAGGAGCAAGCCTGGCCCCATCCAACTCTCTGCTTCCTGGCTAGAGATATGTCCCTTATTCCATGTGCACTCCCATCACCCAACACAGGGCCTGACCCAGAGCCTGGGCTATGACATTTTGACTTCCATCAAAGCTGTAAGGTAATTTATGATTTGCTTGTGTCAGAAATTTTTATATAATAAGTAAAGCTACATAATAAAGTAGTCAATTTAGAAATTAAAAAAAAATACATTTTGAAGTTGCAACATTATTTACTACCAGCCCACTTGAAAGTGATCATATGAACACCACTGGAGGTTCTTGTGGCTGACCTGGTCATTTTTAGTCTTCTAGACAAATAATGGCATTCACAATCTTTAAATTTATTGTTCTGTGATCACCACTATGTAATGGGTTACTCATTGAGAGTATATAAACTCTCAAGCTGAATAATCTGAATTTACAGTTTCAAATTCCAAACAGAAAACACTATCATGGCTTGACTTATATGATGTGATCGGCATGAGTCATTATAGTCAATTTATTTGGATAAACAATGAAATAATTCTCTTCTTGTATAGAAAAGATATTTACTTGAAGATTGAGTTGGTAATTGTATCTTAAATTTTCTAATGATATATCTGAAATCAGAGTAAATAATATTAGACACTCAAGTGAAATATTTGATACAAATGCACAAATATTTAAGATGTTACAGGTTAGACAGAAAAATGTTAATATGCATATATTGATTGAATTTTCTGGGCTCTTTATAATAGAATTAAGACACTGCCAGAGAGATCTAGATAGTTCTTTAAGTGATTATTGCTTTCTTATCCCATGACACATGGCTTAATACCAACTATAATACTGGAACAGTAAGAATGTAAGATAGCTTCAGTTCTTTGCTTTTCAAAAAGACATGATTGAGTTCATAATTTGTGATGGTAGGAGGACAATTTGTAGTCAGTGTTTATCCGTCTCAGAAAAATAACAGGTTGAAACAGGTGAAAGAATATATGAATATATTTCATAGAAATTTCTAAAATACAAAAAAAAAAACTGAAACAGAAGTTATAATCCATACATGGTGTGAAATTTTACTTGAGAAATATTCTGTTTGCTAAATAAAAACAGTTGCCGGTCAAAAGAAATGTCTTTGCAGGAGAGAAGTGCTGATCTATTTCCTTCACATGACATGTGCAGGACTATGGTAAGATTCAACTTACAGTCCTCACAACAATCTTCCTTGGAAAGGGCAATGCTTCAGCTTTCTTCAGCACCAAAGAGACAGACTGAAGTTTGCATTCCAGGAGTTTAAGATGTCAATTATTAGAGTTCCTTACCAAGAGAAATTTGTTGCCTTTAGAGTGCTTAGTTATGGTGATAAGTTTAAAATATCATTGCTATTATATTTGGGAGTGCAAAGCATATATGATTGAAAAATACCAACAGAAAAGTGGCCATTTTTAAATTTGAGATTACATTTGGAATTTGCTTCCCTCATATTTTGTGTCCAGGTACTGTCTCTCCAGCCTAGTGTAGGTATAAAAGATTGCCTGATAATGAGGTCCTGGAATTTGATTCAGAAATCAAAAGAAGTTACCGATCTAATGAATATGTCCTAAAATGACAGAGGAACATAAAGTCTTTGAACAGAGATATGACAGACTGTGGTTTAAAGAGTGGGCTTTCTCTTTATATCGCTGCTTTCAAACACAGAAGACTCTCAAATGATCCAGGTTGGGCCACTACACAGTGCCAGATTCATGTTTCTAAATACCCACTCAACATCCCTTGAGTGTGTGATGGACACCATTAACTTACAGCATCTTTCTCCCCACAAACCTGCTCCTCTCATAGTCTCCCCTTTCTCAGGAAATGACACCTACATATGTCCTTATGCTCAGTTCTGAGAACTTGGATTGTTTTTGACTCCTTTATTTTCTAACCTCCCATATCTAATACATTTACAGATTCTCTGAGGATATAAAGTCAGACCAATTTTACCAGCTATCACTCTATCATCCCTATCCAAGGCACCGTTCTATTGCACCTGGGTAAATACAGTAGCTTCCTATTTTCCAGCTTGCACTCCCATTCCCCATCCCCATCTCTTCCTGTTTCAGGGCTCCCATTCAATTCAAACCCATCCAGTGACATTTATAAACCATAATTCAAATAATATCATTATGTGCTCAAATACCCTGACATTTTACGTTTCATTATAAATGAAATCCTTTCAACTACTTATAAAGTCCTCCATCATCTTGTATCATGACTCATTTCCTAATTCCTTTTTCTCATTTCAGGGTAGTCTCCTTAGTTTTGGTGCTGTTCCTCTTACAATCGCGGTATACTCCTGGAACATTATTCTTTCAGATAAGGCCTCAGGGCCAATCCTCACTGTGTTCAAGTCTTGTCCAAGGACTATGACCCCAGTGAGACCCTACCTGGCTACCCACTAATGTCCCAAACCACTGCTTCTCATATGTTCTACCTACCTTCTCTGCCTTTTTAAATACTTAGACTTTATTCTTATTTGATAGATTAGAAGTTTTTATTTATTCATTTGTTGTCTGTTTTCTCCCTTTGGAATATTTTATACCTGAACTCAAAGATTTTTTGTCTTTGTGTTGCTTTTTTTGCATGTTACATGCCCAACTTCTAGAAACATATTTGAAAAATATTTGTCCAGTGATAAATATTTGTTGAACTAGTGAAAAGGAGCAAACTACTCTTGATATATGAAAGTACTTCCATAGTGTTATTTTAATCTATCCATATAGGAATTTATTTGTTACAAGGAATTAGAGCCATAAAACACCATCACTCCTGCGCTTTACTCAAAAGATCATTGGTATTTGTGATTGGTGTTATTTGTTCCCTCTTGTTATTTGTTCCTTCTTGTCCCTATCATCTATTGGAATTCATATCACAGGATGGTTGAAAATAGCTGTTACCTTGGCTGGTCCTGAAATCTGCTTGTTCTTTGTTATATTATCTATTTATCAACTGGTAGTCAGTCCCTTCCAACTTGATGCAAATTGATGCATTGTTTCTTGCTTATGTCTTCCCCAGATTAAAGGTATCTGCTAATGCTTTTCTCTCTTAATCTAATCAGTAGTCATGCATTCACTACTCAAAGGGGAAGAGCATGGTTATCAAGGTTTATAAAGCAAATCAGGGTACTTTGCTGGCACAATGTTCTGGAGCTTAAAGAACATGACTCGTTTCATTTTTTATAATATATGTTTTTCATTAATCCAATTAATTTATGTTTCTTAGAGAACAAACATTTGATTTTAAGGTAATTAGGGGATGTAGGGAAACCCTATGATTAAAGGATATACTGAAACATATAGGACAAAGGAAGATATCAATTAAAATTAAAAATAAGTACTTTCTGAACTATTTGATGGGTCCTGGGGAGATGACATTTGCAGAGGAGATTTGAAGGAGAATCTCAAGTTATTAAAGCATGGGATTTTCTTCATTTAAACACCATTTGTGGTGCTGAACATAGCTGCTGTTCTTAGTGTCATTTTTTAAGAAAACAGCAATACAAGTGGTTCTAACAACATGGAGCACTTCTGTACTCTTGGTGACATCGATTTTAAGTTGAATGTTAGGTGCTCACCGCTTCCCAGTTGGGTAGAATCTAGAGCAAGAGTGGCCATCCCAGGCACAGTAGGGGTCCCTTGCCAGACAGCAGTCAGCACAGGCTGTCCCATAGATGTGGCAGCGATGCAAGGACACTTGGGAAATCCCTTCATTGGAGCTCACGTACAATTGTTGCTGTAAGAGGAATGATGGTGATTTATTTCAGATGTGGAAGTTAGAAGACTTTCAGCAGGAATACATTATAATGTATGCCCAGAAACCCTTGCATTCATTTAGAAACAGACTAAAAATGAGAAGCAAAGCACAGAAGGATATAAGCCAAAATAAATAGAATTTTCTTATGTTAATATGCCTATACCATTACCACTTTCCTGCTTAAAAAAGAAAAGCTCAGAGCACCATGTACAACGGTAATGTATTTTAGACATTGGGATTCATTGTTCACTCAGATGTGAGCTAACATATTGTAGATTTAAATTACAGTGTTTTCTTTTCTCTGAATGCTCTCAGCAAAGCACAAGGAAGTATTCTCATTTTTCAAGTCTGGCAACACATTACTTCGAAAATTTTTAAATGTCCGGTTTAAAAGAAAGGGTACTTTAACAGAAAATAAAAAAAAATAAAGGACATTTAAAGTTTAGAAGAAAAATAGCAGATAGTAAATATTAGATGGAATGAAGAAAAATGTCTTCAAAAGTACCACAGTACTCATTAAAACTATTTTAAAATTATTTGGGAGAATGTCAGCATTTACATTTAAACATATCTTAGACTTTCTGCATGACCCAGTAACCTACCTCACCTCAGGGAAATTTGAATAAATATTTTATCCTCCCTCATTTGTGGGGTGTCAAGAGCGTACAACTCCAGTGCCTTTATCTGTGCATAAAAATGTTCTCAGAAGTCGATGGAAAGAGCATCTAAGTGACACTCCTTCTTTTCCAAATGACAGATAGAATATAATTCAAGTCAGCACAGAATCTCTAAGCTGGAACTTGAACAGATGTAGATGTAAGGGAGCATCTCCCATATATACATACACTTTTAAGAATTGAACGTATTGGTTGACCAGGCTCTAAAAGCTCTGTAGGGCAGACTCCCTGGGTCCCAATCTCAGCTCAGCCACAAACACACTATGTAACTTTTCTGAATCGCAGTTTTCTTATTGTTGAAATTGGGATAATCCAGTACTTGGCCCATAGTTTTTGCAAGACATAAATGTTGTAGGGGCTCCCAACACATAAAATGTTTGGAACAGTTTGTCTCTTGTAAGTGTTCAATGAATGTTAATTAATTGTAGTAGCAGGAAAATACAAATCAACAGAAATTTTCAATTCTACTAAATCATTTAAATTATACCTCATTCTATTATATCTAATATAATTATTTTATTCAGATAGATTGATTTTTTTGAAATTGTGCTAAAATTGATTGATTGCCATTTAAATGTTCAAATTACAAGAACATAACTGGATATTTTAACAATAAACATCTGTCCACGAACATTTGAAACAAATGTTTATTGAGTAAATTAATTATATAGTGAATGTACCAGCTTCATTAAAATGTTTAAAGCACATTAGTTTAGCTAAGAAAAGAATGCACATAGTTTCATCCTAGATAATTCACTTTTTATTAATCCAATTATTTTCTGTTATTTGAAGTACAAAAATAATTGAAAATAATGTCATAAAATGAATAATGAAATAGATTGACTATCAGGAAAGGTAGCAAATTCATGGTATTTAAACATATATAAAATGTCCTTCACATTTTCAGTCTTCTCACTTGAATAAATAATGCAGTAAGCTGTTATGCAAATGAATTCTAAAAAGTCAAATAAGCACCCCTGCCTTGTATCTAACTGTTGTAATGAGATGTTTTCAACTATCTACAATATAAGACATTGGAAACCAATGTACTATGAGAACTACAAATAAGTTGAAACCTGTAATTTCATGTAAGACTGAGATGCCACACAAATGGTTTTGTATCCATTTTGAATTTTGCTTCTATATTTTCTCTTTGCATTATATTGCTGTAAACAAAGGGGTTCCCTGCAGACTTCAAAGACAATTCTGACTTGGGATCAGCACCCTAGGACATTAGACAAAATGACAAATGGCTTCTTGTTACTTGGGAAAATGTTTGCTATGCACCACACAAACATTTTTACAGATGAGATCTTTAGCTCCCTTGTACCTTATTTATTTTTTCTCATAAAGTTTAGTTAAGTGAAAAGAATGCAAGACTAACTATGCAATACTCCATCATCTCTAACAGACCAAATGTGGCAAAGACCACTAAAATTATGTAATCAGTTGTGCAAACACATAAAATCTTTATTCTGGATTCCAAGAAAAATAAGTCGCAGGCTTTGACAGATAGCATTTGCTGAGGACTCACATTATTTTGGACAATTTATATAAATCAAATCCTTTGTGGAGTAAGGCATTACCTTACAGATGTAGAAACCTAGGACAGAGAAATTAAATGATTTGTCCAAAATTTACAGTCAGCTTGGGATTCCAAAGCATCACAACTCCACTCTGAAACTTATTCCATTCTGACCACACTATTCTGCCCTCTTAGAACTTTTACAATAACAACTTTGGGTGCTACACAGGTGTGTATTTTGTACATGTAGATCACCATATGTTTGCCTCTGAAGGAAAAAACAAATTAATTAGAAGATTTCTGATAACCATAGTCAAACATTTCTTCCTATAATCCTGAGACCTTAGTTTTGAGACATTCAATTTTTTTAGACATGTATAAGCCCTAGGAAATAATATTTCCTTAAAAATAACCCTTAGAGAATGCACTGCACATTTCAAGCATGTGACAGCAGTAGGCACTCAAAAGTGGACTGATTACTCATTCCAAGCCCCTGAGAATGCTGTGATATTATAGTAGCTCAAACATTATGCTAAGTTCTTCCTTCAAAAAGATTATTTTTTATTTTAGTTGGCTTTACACACTGTAATATTTGAGAATATAAGATATACAAAATGTTGGACTATCTTTCTGTACATATGTTCTGCTCTGATGAACTTTTATACAAAAATAAACAAATTCAGTCTTACAATCACAGATTGTAAATTTCCATAAAAATAACCCTTTTAAATTCCACATCAAAATAAAGGTGATTTTATGATATACTTTAACTAGTATCATTTATTTTGTTAATAGTAAAACTAGTTTCTCAGGAATTATAAAATGTATTTTTCATAATGGCAAAATAGCTTAGTATGCAAACAACACCAAACTGATTTATTTTTTTACCTTTTTGGATGAGATTTTCATTGTTGTTATGGGAACATGATTCTAAAAGAATAGAAAACATCATGTTAGTTTCTCATGTGATCCTTAAAACACATTTACATTAAATTTTTCATAAAAACTCAAAAATCTCATTATTTTTCACTACATGTATATATTTTTCAATAAAGTACATTTCTCTTTTGGGACTAGAAATGGCTTTGTCATATAATGCATGCCTAAATTGTAAAAAAAAAATAGTAATTATAACACATTTATCATTATAGGCATTAGAAAATGGAAAAGTTTGAAAAACTTGAGGTAATCAAGAAAAGTGTATCTTGAAACATTGCATATGAATTGGATCTGGGTACATGGGTGGGGAGGCTGTGCACCTCATCTGACTTCTCCATAGTACCCTGCATAAGACACTATTGTTTGCCTGCCAAAAGTGTTTTGGAAAGATGTATTAGGCTGAACCATACTAATTAATTCTCATTGTTGAAAACAAAGGAATGTTGTTAGCAAAGAGTTTCTTTTGGTAAGTGTGAATGAGTGAAAGAACATAAGAATTTTCTGAAATAGTAAGTCTTTTGAATGTCACTCTATTCATAACTTTACTTAATAAACATTATTAGTCCTTTTAAACTTAAAGTTAAATTTCTCATAACCTGATGGAGACCTTAAAGATTTATTTGGGTAATTTAAATGGTTGCAAGCTCTCAAAATCTAAAGTAACCCAAATTTTTGTGCTTCCTGGAGTTACAAGCATTTACAAACACTTAGAAAAAGTAATAGTGACATCTTTAACTCTCAATTGCATTAATCTTTGATTGTCCTTTATAAACACACACACACACACACACACACACCACAAAGGGTTGCTGCTTATAGCCATGTAGGCAACTACTAATAGTCATACCTTAAACTTAAGCTTAGGGAACCGAAACTGATTTTCAGAAAATACGGAGAAGTTTAAATTAAAAAAAAAAGTATTAAAATAAGTTGGCCCTAATCTCCATCATGTGGGGGCAGTCCCCAAATTCCTTACTAAGACACCTATAGCACAAGAGTTAAAACCAAGAATCAACAAATGGGACAATTTCAAACTAAAAAGTTTTTTCTCAGCAAGAGAAATAATATGTGAGGTAAATAGGGAGCCTACATCCTGGGAACAAATTTTTACCCCTCCCACATCAGATAGAGCTCTAATGTCTAGAGTATACAAAGAACTCAAAAAGTTAAACAACAAAAAATAAACAACCCAATCAACAAATGAACCAAGGACCTGAACAGATACTTCTCAGAAGAAGATATACAATCAATCAACAAATACATGAAAAAATGCTCACCTTCTCTAGCAATCAAAGAAATGCAAATTAAAACTACTCTAAGATACCATCTCACTCCTTTAAGAATGGCAGCCATTATGAAGTCAAACAACAACAAGTGCTGGCAAGAATGTGGGGAAAAGGGTACTCTTGTACATTGCTGGTGGGACTGCAAATTGGTGTAGCCAATTTGGAAAGCAGTATGGAGATTCCTTGGAAAGCTGGGAATGGAACCACCATTTGACCCAGCTATTCCCCTTCTTGGACTATACCCAAAAGACCTAAAAAGAGCATACTACAGGGACACAGCCACATCAATGTTTATAGCAGCACAATTCACAATAGCTAGACTGTGGAACCAACCTAGATGCCTTTCAATAGATGAATGGATTAAAAAATGTGGCATTTATACACAATGGAATATTACTCAGCACTAAAAAATAACAAGATCACGGCATTTGCAGGGAAATGGATGGCATTAGAGCAGATTATGCTAAGTGAAGTTAGTCAATCCCTAAAAAACAAATGCTGAATGTCTTCTCTGATATAAAGGGGGTGACTCAAAATGGGATAGGGAGGAAGAACATGAGAAGAAGATTACCACTAAATAGGGAAGAGAGGTGGGAGGGAAAAGAAGGAAGAAGGGAAATTGCACGGAAGATGGAAGGAGACCCTCATCGTTATACAGAATACAAGTATGATGATGTGAGGGGGAAAAAAAGTGTGTCACATTAGAATGGGTAGAGAGAAATGATGGGAGGGGAGGGGAGGAGAAGAGGGGATAGGTAGGGCAGCAGAATAAAATAGACATTATTATTGCTGTATGTATATAGGTGACTGTATGACCAATGTGATTCTGCAACCTGTACAATCAGAAAAATGAGAAATTATACCCCATTTGATTCAAATGTATGAAATGTCAAGATCATTGTACTGTCATGTGTAACTAATAAAAAAATCATCAAATTCTACTTCTAAAAAACAATAATAATAAAAATAAAAGATTATGATTCTTCATCATATAAAAACAAAGTATCAGGTTTTTAAAAGTTACATTGATGTTTCTGCAGTATATCAGTGTGACCATTAGACTTAGGATTTGTTTTTTCAATTTAAATAACATTATTTCCTTACATACCCCAAATGGTATATCACAAAACCCAATTATTTTTACCTCCATCAAGAAAATGTGACAAGAACACCATTTTGATGACAGTTAGTGTATTTGGTAACTGTATCTCTTGATTTAGCCATATGAATCACCGGCACACGTGTCAGTATGAAAGTTCAAATATGTTTTAGTGGCTCTCTTGGGCTGATGTCCCCCACATGCATTCTGACTGATTCTGATTTTCCCCTGAGAGTTTATTCTTCCTGATGATAACAACAGCATAATTCACATAACAGACCATAAGTACTTCTCACTTGATAGAATCACTCACATTTCTTTAAGACTTTTCCATACAGATATGTTTGGGTTTGTGTTAAACTCAATTAACATTTACTGATTAAATACAAGACATTTAAGTGTTTTAAATTAAGTGCAACAATATGGCATCTATGTTATCTTCAGAAAACTCCAGAGTAGGGTACATTATATTATATTGGCTAGTCAAGTTGTCTCTACTACATTGTATGAGACAAAAAGACAAAACTGTCTACATAATGCAACTTGGGTTAATCTAGTGAAACAATCAATTTGGAAAAACTGAACAGATACAGGTGATATTATTTTATGAGTACAATTTTAATATAGTTACCTGAAGAATCCAATGCCAAAGAGCCGGGCATTAAACTCTAAATTTCATAACATGCCGAGAAATCTGGCAGAGTTTCTCACATCTTCATTTCACTTGATTCTTTTTTTTTTTTTGTATTTCTTTATTTTAAAAATTTATTAGCAAAACCTAACATTAGCAAAATCTAAGCATTATATCTTAACCATTTATATACTTACAATTCAGCATTTTTAGTGACCATGGGCATGTGTACCAATGAGTCATGACTTTCTAAAACTCACTCAACCCAGCCACGCAATTCATTAGATTAGGAATATTTTGCTTCTCAGATTTCTGAAGGGCTGCTTCTACTCAGTCATAGGTTGACTGTGATCTTTTTGATTTCCTGAGCCTTTGTTTCTTAGTTGGTTTAGCTGAAATAAAGGTCTGCAGCAGGATTGAATCCACTCCACAGTTGCTTTGCTATTCTAATGAATCCTTCTTCTGTTCTTTTCCCACCTTTCCAAATATAGATAAGAAAGACCACTTTAACTCCAATGGCTGATACCATAAGGAGAAAAGGGCTAGCCAGGTCCAAAGATAAAAAAGAACAGAACAAGGTCCTTTCCCCCAACCAGGTGAGATCTTAAAGAACTATACTTCCCCCTATGTACCTTTCCTTTTTTTTTTTTCTGTTATTCTTCTACTTTTTTTAAATCCCAAGTTCAAGGAAAACTAGAATAAAACAATAAAATCTCAAATTCAGATGATAGAACATTAAGAAGCAAAGTGCAACAATGTTTAAAAAAGAGTGACATTTGAATTAAAAGCAATAAATCAAGAGAAAAAGCAGTTTTTCTTGAACTTACTGGTCACAAAAATACGAGAAAGTTTATCTAACAATCAATAATGTGAAAGCATTTGTGTTTCAGTGGCTTGTGAAGAAAATGATAAAAGCTCTTTCATGGCCAAGCCTTGTAGACCTTGACCACAAGAACTCATTTTTTAAAAATAATGATGACCAAAATTCTTCTAGTTGTGATGACAGCTGGGGAAAAAAAAAAAAAAAAAAGAATCCTTCTATGTTAAGATAACTTGAAGTGTAAGAAAATACTTCACAAAAATATTTGTTCTATATTTCTCATTTTATCTGATGTTTTCCTACCCTGAAAAATTTATGACATTCATTTATTTGATCTTTTATAAAATATTTTTTTCCTCTCAAGTGGCTGTAAGATTAAAGAATTGCATTTTTCTTGCATGTTCTGAGATTAACAGAAGTGATGATCAGACCTTAAAGACTTCCAGCTCCTCCAGAATGAGCTCGCCACTGGTGGAGGTGTTATTGGGAAGGACCACCACCTTCTGTACAGTCCCCCGATCTAAATTAAAAACAGAAAAAAAAAATGACATGTTATAATGGGTTTTTTTAGGGGAAAGAAAGGTATTTAGACATAAGACTACTGGCTTAGAACTTATTATTTATGTACTTGGTCATCAAAAATATATTGAAGGTTGAGCAACTACATGGAATTTATTCCAAATCTCATATAGTTAAATTGAGATTACATAACATTCAAAAGGAACTAGTATGAACATATTATATCCTGCACATAATTGGGTATAGGAAAAACTATGACAGAAGGTAAGAATGTCCAAATGACTGTAATCTACAGTTCTAAACAAACTATATATTCTTGAAACATAATGTATAACTTTAAGTTTGGTCCTTAAGAATATTACTTGCTTCTCCAAATGCTAAAGCCATTTTGTTAGTAAGGGAACATAATGACTTCATTATCTGAAGAAAGATTTCTATAAACAAATACTTATATTAATAATTTAATAAATTACTAGTACTAGAAAATTGACATTTGATCTGTAGCTGTATGTTTAGACATGGTAAAAAGTTTCGCTCACGTTTCAAACTAAGGTTCTAAATAGAAATGTAACTACAACTTTATTCAGGTGTGAATACCTACATATAGGATAATCATACTGTTTCCACAAATTCACTTATCTTTTGGAAAAAAAATTTTCGATGTTTTAAAATGCGGGTGAAATTGTGAAGCTAGATGAGCAAAACCAACTAAAGCAAACACAAAATTTACTCACATTTCCTAGAGACTGACAAAAACACTGATGCCTAAATAAGTGTAATGGGTACAGAAAATGTTACTTAGATCAAAATTTACAATTGAGATAATTTCATATAATCACATAAACATTTTACACACCTACTATTATGGTACACTTCCAAGCACGTGAATTTAGTTCTATAAAAATCTGTTTGTGATTTAGTCATGTGAGATTAAAGTTGTGAGTAATGTGGTGAAGTAAAAATATATTTCCATTAAAACTTAATGAGCTGCATCATAAACATCAAGTTATTACTCTTTCAAATTATCACTGTGAATTCATGATTTATAGATATGTATTATTATCAACAGATAATGCAGCACTTTTTAATTCTGTTAAAAATATTGATAAGAAGAGTTGAACTAAATAATATAGTACTTTATAACTAAGAATCATTTAGTGATTAATACTACAAATCTCAAATCTCCCATCTCAGATTGGCTTCTAGTCCACAGGCAAGAGTCACCCTGACACAAAAGATCCCATTTTATGTTTACAGTCTATTCTTTACGAACTTTATTGAAAGACTAAAAAAAAAAAAATCTTAATAGAAAACTCAACATTAAAATGGTGGAAACAGCTGGGTGTGGTGGTGCATGCCTTTAATCCCAGTGGCTTGGGAGACTGAAGCAGGAGTTCAAACCCAGCCTCAGCAACAGTGAGGTGCTAAGCAACTCAGTGAGACCCTGCTTCTAAATAAAATACAAAATAGGGCTGAGGATGTGGCTCAGTGGCTGAGTGCCCCTGATTTCAATCCCGGTACCCCCCCAATAAAAAATAAATAAAATGGTGGAAACTAAAAATATAAAAACTTACTAAACTACAAGATTACACAGAAAAATGTGAGACAGAAAGAGGTTTCCAGAATAATCTCTAAAACCTGTGAGGGTTCAGCATATGAGTGCATGATCTTAGAAGTTTAAAAGCTCATTCTATAGTTTAAAATCCACCATTTATACTAAAAAACATCACTTGCAAAGCTTTGAAGGCACCAGGAATAATTTTAAATCTCTGAAATTTCTGATTCATTGAGCAGCTGCCTTAGAATTGTCCCTGTCTTTTAGGAAGATAAGTAATGTATTGGAAGTGGGGAAGCTCTTGGGGGTGCTGTGCAGAGATACATCACAACTGAAAATGGATCAATGTGGCTGGGAGTACTCCTCACTTTCTATAAACAATCCATTACAATGAGCAGAGCAGACATCGAGGGGAATATAACATACCAAAAAAGCAAAACAAATCAAAAACACTAATCAAAAAAAAAGATGGAATTGTGACAGCTACATCAAGATTTGTTTGCTATTGTGTGTGGGTGTATGTACATACAGCCCCCCCCCCCACCACCACCGCCCTGTGGAATACTTCTTGAATGAATTATTGGGGATGGGGTACAATATCTTTGCTTCAGGTCATGTTATCATAAATGTCACATTCTTTTAAAAAAGAGGAGTTTTAGGGTCTCTTGCTGCTGTTCATAAGGATTGCTACCATTCTCCATGACAGCAATGACTTCTTTCTTGGGTAGAGATTGAACAGAAGCTGGGTATAAGCATAGTTTCAAAGAAAATTGCCCAAAAGTTTATCCCAATTGCAATGGTTTTCAAAGATAGAACTACCAGCTCTGAAAAGAACTGAGTGATTATCTTGATTTGCCATTCCATAATATATACATATATCAAAACATCATACAGAACATCAAAAATATACAGTTTTTACTTGTCAGTTAAAAAAAAAGAAAAAAAAACACTGAAAAAAAAAGAATTAGCAAGTGCTAAATTTTGTTCACTTAATGTTTAACTTATTATGAGAATAAAACTTTATATGTTATCATTTTCTTCTGGAAGGAGTCACATTAAAGATACTATATTCTTACCATTCATAAAATATTTTGCAAAGAAAAACTATAAAATGAGCTATTAAAAGATAATGAAAACCCTTTTTGACTCATTCACAATAAAAGGTAGAGAAGGTAGAATATCACTTTTATTTATTGCTTTTCTGTTATTTTGAATAGTTTTTATGTTGCTTGTAATGATGAATTCCCTATATAGAAAATACTTTAATGACATCCTTAGGTTGTATTATTCACTACTAAAACATAAGTAGACTTGAGTTATCATCCATCCATTTTTACTCACTGACTCAACAAGAAATTATTGAATGCCTTAAGTGAGTCAGATAGTATAGATGCAAAGATAAATAAGCATAGTACTCACAAGTTCACAGTCTAGAATTTATGGTTTTTTGAGTAGTAAGTGTGTTCCCATTAAAATGTTAGTCATTGTGAGATATGCATTCCAGAATGGCCATAAAACTCCCCATTACTTATGTCTACATAAAGCCATCTCTGTACCCTTTCGTTTGAAGATGATAATACAGTCATCAAATGTCTTACTTCTAGAGGTGGTGAGAATGGTATTCTTTGGATGTCCTCATAACTATAAATCTTTTTTTATTGCTCTGTAGAATTGGGATATTGCTCTCATCCACTTGGGAAAAGGACATGACTACAATATAGTTACAATGAAGCAAAGTCCCTTCTTCCTGAAGCCTGGCTTGCCTTGTGTGTAAAATGTAGGTAATAACAGATATCTGTTATATATGTTCCTAGAGCCTTCCCAGAATCATGTCTCCTTTTTTTGGCAACAACACCTTGAGCTCCAGGAGACACACCCTTGCCTCTGGAATTCACACAGAATTAAGCATAGAAACAATTCAGGGGTATCTCTTTCTGGGAATTAGGTAAGTGGGAGTTTCTTTGTATGGGAGAGACTGAAAGCCCTGCACATCTGGAGGAAGTGAAGCCACACTTGCTACTACATGAAGAGATGCCATTTGAAAACTAGTGATGCAGAGGAAAGCAGAACTGAAAGAAGAAGAAATAATTTCTGACATCATTTTAGCACAAATTTAACTCAGTCTGGGGCTGCTTTCTGGGTGTCCCAAAGGGAAGAATTTTCAACTCATAAAATGTGTGTTCACTTCCATTTGAAGAAGTCCTAATTAAATGAATAATATACAGAAATTGCCTAAAATGTTAATGCTACAGATTGTACCCTCCATAAGTGCAAGTTATTTTTTTAGATCCAGTTGTCTGCTTACTAAGCTTTTGACATTGCTGGTGTCACTTTCTTTTACTAACCCTCAATTTCCTCATTTATAGTGTACAGATAATAAATCCCTGAGTACATGAAAGCATTGATATGTGAGTAAGCAGAACGAATCCTAGAAGTGATCTGCATCATGTGCATTTTCCCACAAATATAGCATAGTTGACTTATCAATTTGCATTAGTGATTTTAATTTCATTTCCTTTCATTAAATATTTAGAGAAAACTCCCTGGACAAGCTTCTTTTCTGTCTTATTTATTTTATACTACCTAGTTTTTTTTTTCTTTCTTTTTAATACAAGGGATTAGAGTAATAATCCTTACAACTTTTCTCTGTCTCCAAGAGATCAGCATGCATTTACAGCACAGTAGGTGTTGGCTGTCTCAAACAAATGATCAAACATAGCTCATTACTCAGCAGGTCATTTGAATAATCATTGTATATCTATCTCCTGGGATGCATTTAAACTACAGTCCTTGGAGGGTTACCCTGGAAACTGATGGGCCAAACTGCCGCTTGCCTTTGGATTTAGGAAAACACTGCCTCCTTAATCAGATCCAGTTTGTCCCTTTCTCAGATTGACTGACCTATCAAAGCTCTATAGTCCAGACTAGCCTCACAGGTGTGTGCCCTGCACAGTCACAGAAGCTCCTGTGCTCAGAAGAGCTGCATGTTTGATTTAATGCACTTTTGCCTCTTTGAAAGTATTAATACCTTTTTAACAAAGGACCCTGAATTTTCATTTTGCACCGCCCTACAATTATGCAGCCAGATGTAATTCTAGGAGTTAGCAATTAATATTAATTTATACTACGTGAGAAGCAGCCTTATTCACTTCAGTAAAGATGCCATATACTTCCTAATTTTTCTCTCTTTTCCATAGTGTCCCTAGATGCCATCCTAGGTAGCTAGCCCATTGTATGACTTTCAAATAGCAGTTTTATCAGATAATCAATTCTAGTATTTATTAATTAAACCGAGAATTGTAAAAGATAATTCATACTTGTTAAATGCAACTCTTCCTTTATTATAATTTTATGGTATTTCAATTATTAAAATAAACATTTTAAAGATTAAAAAAAAGAGCTGACAAAATCTCTGGCGAATGAAAGCTCTTTAGGTATGAAGTATG